TACTTTTGAGGCTTTTTTAGTGGAGAATGTAGTTGTTTGAATTGCAACTATGCAGTTTATTTCTAAGAATAGTGCCTATTTTAAAATATTTACAATTTCTGAGAGCTCGTCAGTAGCGGTTGACGTTGTCTATCCACAGGATGGCCCCAGAACCGCATAATAAGCCCTTGCTCTGTGTGTTCTCTTGAGCGTAAATTAAAAAGCTGAAAAATGGAAGCCTCGTGGTTTTAAGGTGGACCGGATAGAGTCAATAAGAAGCTGGGAATAAGAAGCTGGATTCAGCCTTGTCCCACCTTATCGCAAACACAACAGCAGTCTGGTAAGAAATCTCTGTAGACGGATGGCAGTTTATGTCACGTTCAGCCTTATAATCTTAAAATGTGATTATGTGATCAGCCTTATAATCTTAAAAAAAAAATTTTGTTTGTGTTTTGTCATCACGTTAAGGGGATATATATATATATATATATATATATATATATATATATATATATTATTATTATTATTATTATATTAAAAGCAAGTAAATTAAATAAATATTTAATTTCTGCAAATGTGCACAGATATAAATACACATAAATGTTTGTTTTGGATCTAATTAATCTCAATAATTTTTTAAAATAATTTGTGCTGGAAAACAATACAAATATAGTTTGATATTTTTTACAATGCATTTTATGACTATATACAGCAGGTAAAAATAAGTATTGAACATATCAGCACTTTTCTCAAAACATATTTTTAAAGATGCCATTGACTTGAAATCACTGGATGTTGGTAACAACCAAGGAAATCCAAATATGCAAAGAAAACAAATCAAATTAGTTTACAAATAAAGTTATGTAAAATAAAATGAAATGACGCGGGGAAAAAGTATTGAACACATGAAGAAAGGGAGGTGCAGAAAAGCAGTGAAAGCCCAGACAGCAGCTGAAATCTCTCAGTAGTTGTTCAGTAACCCTCTGCCCCTCATCAGAGTAAATGAATATCAGCTGCTTCAGTCCAACATCTACATTAGCAGGAGGATGAAGATGAAACCGGGGTGGACATTTCAGCAAGACAATGATCCAAAACACAGCCGAGGAGACTAACAAAGGCTTTCAGAGAAAGAAAATAAAGCTGTGGAATGGCCCAACCAATAACCCGACTCCAATCCAATAGAAAATACAAAATAAAGCTCAGATTTGATAGATGAGACCCACAGAACCATCAAGATTTTGACACTCTGATGAAGTCTGTGAAAAGCTCACCCCTGAGCAATGCATGAGACTTCTTTCACCATATGAGAGGTGTCTCTATATAAGCTCCAGCACCAAAAAGCCACAGCAAATGAGCCACAACACCCTAAAAACCACCTACAACCCTGAAAACTGCACTGCAACATTACTGCGCATAATACTCACAACTCAGACTTACTAATTCATAAATAACAATAATAATTACTTAAAAACAACATGTGCATATTAAGTAAAACAAGTGATTGATATACTTAGAAATAGCATGAGATCTGAAGCATTAGACTGCACATGGTGGACGCTTCATCAGTTAATGTTTCAAGTGTTCATTTACTCCAGTTGAAGAGGTTTGTCAGAGACGGATGGGTAAAGACATGTCAGCGTGAGTCATCTTCATTCACCCAGCAGCATGCACTATGCAACAATATTAATAACCCAAAGGTATTCCATCGTCATGAGCACCGATGACAAAATGCATCATAATTTAGCAGCAGACAAGAGAAAATGTGTTCACAGGCTGTAAAGCTATCAGGATGCTCGATCTGGCATGAAGAAAGAAACACTGTGTTTTTACACACAGAATCGGAGGTCATGCATGTGCAAACCCCACATATGCACAAGTCCTTAAAGTTCTCGATAAATTAAAATAAAGTTTTTGAGATGTTAGTATCAGTATTGTTAGTTTTTAGAATAACAATAAGCTAGTGTGCTACAAAACAGTGACATAATTTGCATTTAGAAGATATCAAACTCAAGTAAACATGTAAAGCTTGCAGTTTGTCACGTCACCTACAGTTTCTCATCAAATCATAACCAATCAAATGCTTAGTTTCCGACATGCCCCGCCCCCTTCAGGACACTCCTCATTTGGTTTTCATTAAATGCGCTTGAGCTCATCCACTCTCACTAGCAAAGCTGTTATAAAAACAACACGCTATTGGCTGTTTTTTAAAAAGGGGAGGAGCTACACTGTTTAACCCTCTCTTCGTGTTTTAGTTGAGATTATGTCAAGCATCCGATAAAAAAGCTGCACATTTTTAGTTCACTTGAAGCGATTAACCCAGCTTAATGGCAAATTAAAAGTCCTATTAGCATACATCGACATATACCCCATTGTGGCATTTTGGTGCCTGTCGCTTTAAATTCAAATGAGATTGTGCTCTTTTCAAAAGAAGGCGGGGCTACAAAAACCTTTGTCTCAGTATAGTGGCAGATTCAAAAACAAAACTAATGTCCTATGCTAATGAGGGAGAGATGGTTACTAGTGGGCGGGGCTTTTCCCCTCTGATGACATGTACAAAGTGAGAATGTCAATCAAAGTGTTTCTGCAGACTGTTTTTATATTTAAAAAAAAATGATTAGAAGCTGGTTATATTCACACACTGCTGTCACGCAACTGTGTTTAAATCCCTTATAAGTGTGATTTTTGCATAAAAGGTGCTCTTTAATAGCAGGCTATAATAAATGGCAGTTAGTTTTCCACAGGGCTGGTTATGTAATAATAGTGAGTGTGTTTTGTAAGAATCAGGAGCGACTCTGAGGGACGCTTTCAGCACTTTTATCAGCGCCGCTGCTGTAACTCATGGCTGGTGTTTCACCGCAGCTCTCTAATTATTCAGAGCCAGTAATGGAGTGCTGGAGCTGTTTGTCAACAACAGCCACCAAAAAACAGAGGCTCCGCAAATCAATTTAGGCTGTTTTTTCACACTTGCTTTGATTCCAGTTCCCGACGCTCGGCGCCTCAGGTTTCTCCTCATAATGTTTTTGGGTTTGAACTGTGGTTTGTTTGTGCGAACACCAGCCTGAGTCACAGCACAAGTTGTTTATCAATGCAGCTGGTGGCAAGAAAAAAAAATTCTGGCATTTAAAAGCATCCTTAAAACAACATATACTAAAGTAACACGCTTTGATTTCAGATGCGTCTGCTTTCCAGTACAAATATCGGAATGTTCTTAAATCAAGATACACTTACTTATGCAAAATCTTGTCAAATATATTCAATGCAAGAGTTCACACTTAGCTCATGATTTATACATAGCTTGTTTGGCATGCTGTCCCGGTAGCAATCCTCGAGCCCAGGGCTCCCCCCTTTTGCAGGGCGAGGGGAGATAGAGCTCAGGTCAATCTCAAACTCCACCGCTGCTGAGGCCAAGGTGAACTTCCTAAGAGTAAGACAATGTTAAAAAGGTTTAGGCTTATTTTATCTATAATATAGAGCACATTTGGATGGTGGGAGGAAACCGGGGAACCCCGTGGGAAACCCACGCGGACATGGGAAGAACATGCAAACTCCGCACAGAAATACCAGATGGCTTTGCGAGGACCCAACGCCATTGGTATTCTTGCTGTGAGGCAACAGTGCTATTCACTGAGCCACCGTGCCGCCTATTCTGGATAAAGGAGGAAGAAGGGGAGGAGGGGGGGTTCTTCCAGACGAAGATAGTTGTCGAAAGGAAATGAGGATATATATAGTGACTTAGGATCCTCTGATTGGAGGATCATGATTAGCTAATGTGAAAAAGCTGGTTTAAACATGAGCGCATGCTCCTCTCGAAATTAGTTTAAAATTTAAACTTCACTTAAAATCTATTAAATCTTGCTTTCAGAAAAATGTGGACATTTAAAGGCGAAAACAAGAGTGAAGAGGAGTGAATTTGTTTTTAAATGAAAGAAGTCAGGAATACAAAAATAAACATGTATAATCCCTTGACTTAAAGGGACAGCTCTGCCGTCATTTACTCAACCTTTTTTCTGTTGAACTCAAAAGAAGATATTTTGCAGAATGTTGGAAACTGGGTCCTTTCAGAACAGTCAGTCTGGTGTGAAACGAGCCAAAACGGCTAAAAGAGGCTATCATTCATTAATTTTCTTGTCCGCTTAGTCCCTTTATTAATACAGGGTCGCCACAGCGGAATGAACTGCCAACTAATCCAGCAAGTTGCAACCCATCCATGGGAAACATCCACACACACATACACTACGAACAATTTAGCCTACCCAATTCACCTGTACCGCATGTCTTTGGACTGTGGGGGAAACCGGAGCACCAGCAGGAAACCAACCCGAACGCAGGGAGAACATGCAAACTCCACACAGAAACGTCATCTAGGCCGAGGCTCTAACCAGCGACCTAGTGACCTTCTTGCTGTGATGCGACAACACTACCTACTGCGCCACTGCCTCGCCCCCAATGTATTATTTGTAACAACAACAAAAAAAACTAAAAGTGTGAAAGCACCCAAACATTCTTCAAAATATCTACTTTTGTGTTTGACATGGAAAAAAGAAACCACTGGTTTGTTCTAATCAAATCGATGGCATTATCATTTATCCTAATCTCTTTGTTTTGATTATCAAATATAACAGAAAACAGCTTAGAAGTGAAGTTTCACAAACTAATTTCGAGAGGAGCTCGATTATGATTGAGCACTATTGGCTTCTCATTTGTAATCAGTAATAATCCAATCAGAGTGATCCAAGCTTACTATAAATGGATGGTTTTCTCCCTACTCTAACTTTGTTTTGGAAGAATCCCTCCTTCCACCCCGTCTCCTCCCTTTCCTCCCTTATCTAAGGGGCGAGCTCTCGAGACTTACCTGATCTCGGATCCCCTTATATGCTTATTGACCAGGCGGGAGCCTTGGGTTTAATTATCTCCGAGCTCAGGGTTCTCTCCCAGGACAGCATGCTATAAACGCCAAGCATAACTCAAATGGGAACTGTTGAAATGGAGATGATAAGCAGATGTTAATTCTGTGTTTACAGGATAACTTCCCTGCTGGAAATCCAGAGAGACTTCATGACTTAAAATCAACCGTTGACCTGCTGACCAGCATCACTTTCTTCAGGATGAAGGTATGAGACACACACACACACGCGCACACACGCACACACACACACACACACACATACACACACACACATATATGCACACACCCATGCACACGCACACACTGTGTGACAGCAGTGTGACTCAGCGCTGTTACTCACACAATAAAAAGCAGTCATGCTTCTCATGAAAGAGAATTCTTTCAGCTGAAAATCTGAATGAAACCATCAGGGCTTTTTACGACTTTCATGGCCAGTCAAAATATTGTAGCAGTTCAGTGTGAAGGACTTTACTAATTCTGCAGTAATTTCCTGCATTAACTAGTCAGATTAATTCAAGGAAAAGTAATTTTTTTCTTAAATGTAAGAATAAAAAACTCATTATACAAAAAAAATGCTCAACAGCTTTTTTGGGTTGTGAATGACACCAAGAAATGCCAAACCAGAAAATTAATTAATTAATTGTTCATTGTTTTTTTAAATATTATTTAGTTAAATATTTATTTTATTTCATTTATGTTCATTTATACTTTTATTTATTTTATTTTATTTATTATTATTTTTTTTGCTTAGTCTCTATTAATCAGCAGTTGCCACAGCGGAATGAACCACCAACTTATCTAGCATAAGTTTTATGCAGCAGATGCCCTTCCAACTGCAACCCATCACTGGGAAACACCCATACTTTCCCATTTACACATACACCCTGGACAATTTAGCCTACCCAATTTACCTGTACCACATGTGTTTGGACTGTGGGGGAAACCGGAGCACCCGGAAGAAACCCACTTCAACACGGGAAGAACATGCAAGCTCCACCTTCTTACTGTGAAGCGATGTAATGGAATATGGATTATGCTACCCACTGCAACACCGTGCTGTCCCTTATTTTATTTTATTTTATTTTATTTTATTTTATTTTATTTTATTTTATTTTATTTTATTTTATTTTATTTTATTTTATTTTATTCATTTGTTTGTTTATTTTATTTTATTTTATTTTGTTTTCATTTATTTATTTATTTTGTTTTAATTTTTTATTTATTCATTTGTTTGTTTATTTTATTTTATTTTATTTTGTTTTAATTTATTTATTTATTTTGTTTTAATTTTTTATTTATTTATTTGTTTTTTTATTATATTTTATTATATTTTATTTTGTTTCATTATTTTATTTATTAATTTGTTTGTTTATTTTATTTTGTTTGTTTGTTTATTAAATTTAATTTAATTTAATATTTTTTTTATTTTTTTTTATTTTATTTTATTTTATTTTATTTTATTTTATTTTATTTTATTTTATTTTATTTATTCATTTTTTGTTATTTTATTTTATTTTGTTTGTTTGATGGTTTGTTTGTTTGTTTGTTTGATTTAATTTAATTTAATTTTATTTTATTTTATTTTATTTTATTTTATTTTATTTTATTTTATTTTATTTTATTTTATTTTATTTTATTTTATTTTATTTAGTTTAGTTTGTTTTATTTTCGTTTATTACTATTTTGTTTTAAGAATTATTAGCCCTCCTGTAAAAAATACCATTTCTTTTAGTCTGGTTTGAATAAAAGCATTTTTTAGGTATTATAATATATAAAATAATAGTGTTCAGATTTTATTGATTTTACAATGATCAACATTATTAGAAATTATTGTATTTATTGGCTGCAGAACTAACCTAATTACTCTAACATGCCTAATTAACCTAGTTAAGCCTTTACATTGCACTTGAAGTCAAATACCAGTATCCTACATAATAACTAGTGAAGTGTTTTATACCGTCATCATGGCAAACATGACAAAAATAAATTAGTTATTAAAAATTAGTTATCAAAACTCATTCATTCATTTTCCTTCGGCTTAGTCTCTTTATTTATCATGGGTAAGCACAGCGGAATAAACAGCCAACTTATCCAGCACATGTATTACACAGCGGATACCCATACACACTCATTAACACTCATACACTACAGCCAATTTAGTTCATTCAATTCACCTATCCTGCATGTGTTTGGACTGTGGGGGAAAACGGAGCACCCGGAGGAAACCCACGCCAACACGGGGAGAACATGCAAACTCCACACAGAAAAGCCAACTGACCCAGCCGCGACAAGAACCAGCGACTTTCTTGCTTTGAGGCCACAATGCTAAACACTGAGCCAACATGCCACCCACATTATCAAAACTATTATGTGTGAAAACCTTCTCTCGGTTGAACAGCACTTGGGCAACATTTGAAAAAGAACTAAAATGTCCCTAATCATTTTGACTTCAACTGTACGTATGCTAGTTTTGTGTCAGATTGTGCTCAATTTGGCTCATGCATTGACGATAGAGATGATAGCGACGTGCTAATGATCTGCTAATCACAGTTCCCCTGATAAGATCTCCTGCATTGCCAGACCTCAGATGTGTTTCACCTCGTCGCGCACAGATAAAGCGAATATATTCTCTGATTGTTTTCACGTTCTGCTTCATCAGCCGCAAATATAAAGCTGCGCCGCTTTACAGTCGGTAATGAAGCATTCTTCACCAGCGCTGCAGGCTTGCAATGATTTCTCATTTGTTTGCATGAAATAAAAAAAATCTTTTGCCTCTTGAATTATGTACTCCAGTCAAATTTATTGGAGCACAATCACAAGAACCGCTTGTTCTGGGGGTCTCCTGGCAATAAAACTGACTTTGACGTATAGCCGGGCTCAGTGGGAGAGAATACGGCCGTTTTTGAGGAGTCGTAAAGAATAGGCTGATTTCTCAGGGTTGGGGAGCTGTAATATATTCAGAGCCAATATGACTGTAAAGCAGGGGCTGCACAATATATTGAAGAAAATAATGTTATCATGATAATTGTTACGATAACCACCGATCGTTCGTCATAGATCGCTGGTTCTCCCACACAATAAGCATGGACTACACTTCCGCCTTCTCCTGGACTACATATTCATACATGCTCTCCGGTCACACTCACACATGGGCTGCGTCCGAAACTGCATACTTCCATACTATATAGTACGCCAAAATCAGTATGCGAGCCGAGTAGTATGTCCGAATTCATAGAATTCGAAAATCAGTATGCGAGAAGTACCCGGATGACTTACTACTTCCGGCAAGATTCCGAAATGTGCGCATCCCATGCATGCTGCGCTATCCCATGATGCCCCGTGAGCGAATTCATGAATGGAAGTAAAACGACGCAACTGACGCTGGTAGGTCACGTGACCATGACAAAATGGCGGATGTAGTACGTCCGAATTCCATTCATACTTTTCACATTCCTACTGTATAGAGTGTACTTTTCTAACGGCCGAGTAGTACGTTTAAATTGAAATGCAGTACCTACTGAGTAGTAAGCAGTTTTGGACGCAGCCATGCTCACTCATCTAGACTGATTACATTCTCACCACCTGAGCCTTGTCAGAGACTGATTGCACTCACTACTTAAGCCACTCATTCACCCATCCAGTTTGCAGAGTCTTGTTAATCTGTTGATGACATTACAACGCGTTTCTCCCTGTCTTGTTTCTCCGTGTTTAGACCCAGTCTTGTTTACCTTGTTCTCCTGTTTAGCCGCCTGCCTTTAGACCTATTGCCTGTATATTGATTACGATTATGGATTTGCCTGCATATACCTGTTTACTAGTGATGGTGAAATGAAGCTCTCTGAACCAGTAAAGCGCTCGACTCAATTGTATCGGAAAAAGGTTCGTTACTCGAAGCTTTCTAAATCAAAGCTCGATGAGGACCTCATCTGGTGAAAGTGTGGGGAAGCACTGTTGCCTTAATGTTAACTGTTCACAACTGACCAACTCATTCATGTAGTAATACAACAACAGCAATATAAACAAATAACTCAATTACTGTAGTTTTTACAGAAGATATATTACATTACACAACTGATGAATGTTGTAAAATCCAAGGTATTCAAAAGTTTATTGTAATACAGCTAGTCCTGCTCCAAGCGGGAATCGAACCAGCGATTCTTGCATGGGAGGCGAGTGCTCTAGGAGGAGGCTATGTGAGTGATACTTCAAGAATGCACTCGCCAGATGGTCTCTGTTAAAGACAATACTACGATATGCGGTGGTTTTCTTTAAAGATAGTTGTAAAAAATACGCTAATACACTTTAGTATGGTTCAAAACCTTTTTACTAAAAATTACTATTGTATTTTAGTTTAATTACTGGTGTGTGGGAGTGGTGCAGTGCTTTGAAACAGTACAAATGTATGTAATCGATGCCTAATCTCTCGCTGTACACTTTACTATGAGGGTTGTAATGAAGTTTACGGCCCTTTGGCCGCCGGGAAGAAGGAGGCGGAGAACCGACGCAGGTTTAACATATTTATTAATAACAATGACGGCAGCTCCTCACGGAGACTGCCGTCAAACTGAAAGCAAAAATAAAACAATATGCCCGGGCCCGGTCCTCTCTCGGCTTCCTCTGCCATCGGTCCTCCTTTTATGGTGGCCTCACCCCGTTTGTGTCATATTGGGTGTCATATTGGGTGTGGCCTCACCCCGTTCCCACGGCTCTCGGCCACGCCCCCTCGCCACAAGGGTGTTTAAACCTTTGAATCAAAATTCGAAGCAGTCACGTGGGTATAGGCGAAAATTAAGCTTCGGACGTCACTGATCACGTGATGATGGCAAAACGAATCAAGCTCCGGTACACTGCTTCACTTTGAGATGTATCGTTTTGTTGATACATGCTTCGAAGCCTCGGCGCACAACGTCACATCACTACTGTTTACACCTGATTTGACCATTGCTTGCCTGACGCTGAATAAACCTGCATTGTGGATCTTACCTTCAGTTGTATGTGTCACTCCCCGTAGTTACAATAATAGTATAAGCTAGTGTTGTCACGTTATTGAAATTTCTAACTGGGATACCTTGAAAAATATAGATATTTAATACAATATCTGATACTATGAGGGAAAACCTCTTCCCCACACCCCCATACACACACACACACACACACAAACTTTATATTATAAAATTGTCACAATACTGGAATTTCAAACTTTGA